AGAGGAGTCGCCCCTGCTGGTCACTACAGAGAAGTAGAGTCATTCCTCATAGACGTCTATGGGAGCAGAGAGTCGCCCCCTGCTGATCACTACACAGAAATGCAGCTTTATCACGTGAAGCTTATCAGGACTCTTTTGAGCTCTGAAATGAAAAGCTGTTTCTCTGTGTGTCTCTCTGTGTGTTCAGGTTCGACAGTGAGCTGAGCCAGGCTCTGGAGCAGGCCGCCCTGGAGAGGGAGCAGAAGGACAAGGCCTGCCAGGAGAGCACGGCTCTGGGGGCGGAGCTCTACGGTTTGCGCCGCAGCCTGCAGGTCAGTCAGTGCTCACACCAACGAAGAAGAGCAAAGGCAAGAGATTTATGTATGATCTCAGATTCAAGAATCCCAAGTGTGTGTGCGTGCGTGCGTGCGTGCGTGCGTGTGTGTGTGTGTGTGTGCGTGTCTGTGTGTGTGTGCGTGCAGGAGGGCCAGGTGGAGGCGGCCCGTCTCCAGAAGCAGAAGGACGAGTTGTGCGCTCAGATCCGTGACCTCAGCCTGCCGGTGGATCTGGCCTCCGACTCGCTGCCCGACCTCAAGAAGAAGCTCCGCCTCCTGGAGGTGGAGGCCGGCGAGCGAGCGCACGAGGTCACCGAGCTCGCCAGCAAAATACAGCAGCAGCAACAAGTGCACATGCGCTCTGAGATGGAGATGGAGAGGATGAAGCAGATGCACCAGAAGGAGCTGGAGGACAAAGAGGAGGAGCTAGAGGACGTGCACAAGTCGTCCCAGAGACGGGTACGTGGCGTCTTTGAAGTACTAATGTGAGGTACTTGTACTTCAGTACTTTCCTCTCGGCTCACTTTCTACTTCTGCTGCTTTCATCTCAAAGCTTTTGTTACTTTAAAAATACACATTTCTGAGGTCAAAACTGAACAATTTGATCTTTTGAAAACTATTTTTAACAAACGTTTTGTTATTATTAATGTTTTGGGCCCAGAAATGTAAAGATTTGGTGCTTTTGTTTCAAATCGTTATAATAAGTATAATCAGACGGCCTTCGTCCAATGAAGGAGAATGATCCACTCAGTTTTTATGTTACGCAACCAGAGCATTACATCACTTCTGTGCAGGGACACACACACACACACACACAATCAGTGTTGGGATGTTTGGTACGTTAAACGTGGTTTGACTGTGAGAGAAGAGCCCGGTCCAGTGTCTCTGTGTGTCTCTCAGTGTCTCTCAGTGTCTCTGTGTGTCTCTGTGTGTTTCTGTGTGTCTCTGTGTGACTCCCAGTGTCTCTGAGTGTCTCCCAGTGTCTCCCAGTGTCTTTGTAACTGTTTCATTATTTTTGTGTTCTTTACGTGTCTCCTTGCAGTAGTTGTGCGTCTCTTTGAGTGACACATCTGGAGGCTGCGACACTTTTCAGTGATTCTTGTTTCTCTGTTAATTTCCCCAGTGCTGAATAAAGTTTTATCTCTTTCAATAATAACACATTGTGATGTATCTGCAAAAACTACTGTATCTTACTCTGATGTGTATTGGAGTATATTATATGTGTGTGCGTGTGTGTGTGTGTGTGTGTGCAGCTCAGGCAGTTGGAGATGCAGCTGGAGCAGGAGTACGAGGAGAAACAGATGGTGATTCACGAGAAGCACGACTTGGAAGGACTCATAGCAACTCTGTGTGACCAGGTACACAACACACGCACACACACACACGCACACACACACACACACACACACACACACTGAATGAAGAGCATCCAGCTCTCTGCCCTCATAGGTGTGAAGAATGTGGTTGTTTGTCCAGATGAGAAGCTTTTTGAGGGTTAAGCTCCTTTCATGTGCTGGAGGTTCTTCTGCTCCTCCAGAGTCCAGTAGATGGAGCAGAACAATCATTGTCAGCTTAGTTAAGTAATGTCTTCCCTATCATCTCTTTACCTTCATGACTACAACTGGACAGGAAGTGACCAAATACGGACTGATGAGAATGTAGAGACGTCATAAACGTCTCTGGTAGAGACCTGTCAATCTGTATGACTCTTAATGGACCATAATCCACTTAATGAACATCATGCTGAAGAAGAATTAAAACTAGACACTGAGACCATAAACTCATGTTTACAATGTTTACTGAGGGAATAAATCAAGAGAGAAGTAGAGTCATTTTCTCATAGACGTCTATGGGAGCAGAGGAGTCGCCCCCTGCTGGTCACTACACAGAATGCAGCTCTAACTCATGAAGCTCTGCAGAACCAGATGTGGTCTCCTGGTTGTTGTGGGACTAGATGACGGCTTCAGTCTGAAGACAAAGTAACTTGATCTCCTGCAGTAACGCGACGGAGAAGAACCTCATGCCTCCTCACTCCCCCCTCACACCTGCAGGTGGGCCACCGGGACTTCGACGTGGAGAAGAAGTTGAGGAGGGACCTGAAGAGGACCCATGCCCTGCTGGCCGACGCCCAGCTCCTCCTCTCCACCGTGGACAGCCCAGGGCAGCACCTCCCCGCCGGGGGCCGCGAGCAGATCGAGCGCCTGCACTGCCAGGTGCGCCCACGTGCACGCACCTGTCCAACGTGCACTCACCTGACCTTCCTCTGAGGACCCGTTGACTCTCTCTCTCTCTCTCTCTCTCTCTGGTCATCAGTTGGAGGAGAGCGAGGCGAGGAGGCTGGAGGTGGACGCCGATGTGGGGACTCTCTCCCAGGAGCTGGAGAACTCTCAGATTGAGCTGGAGAACATCTGCAAGCAGAAGAGTGTGGTGAGTGTGCAGACAGGTGAGTGTGCAGACAGGTGAGGGCGCAGACAGGTGAGTGCAGAAAGGTGAGTGTGCAGACAGGTGAGTGTGCAGACAGGTGAGGGTGCAGACAGGTGAGGGTGCAGACAGATGAGTGCAGAAAGGTGAGTGTGCAGACAGGTGAGTGTGCAGAAAGGTGAGGGTGCAGACAGGTGAGGGTGCAGACAGGTGAGGGTGCAGACAGATGAGTGCAGAAAGGTGAGGGTGCAGACAGGTGAGGGTGCAGACAGGTGAGGGTGCAGACAGGTGAGGGTGCAGACAGGTGAGGGTGCAGACAGATGAGTGTGCAGAAAGGTGAGTGTGCAGACAGGTGAGGGTGCAGACAGGTGAGGTTGCAAACAGGTGAGGGTGCAGACAGGTGAGTGTGCCGACAGGTGAGTGTGCAAACAGGTGAGGGTGCAGACAGGTGAGGGTGCAGACAGGTGAGGGTGCAGACAGGTGAGTGTGCAGACAGGTGAGTGTGCAGACAGGTGAGGGTGCAGAAAGGTGAGTGTGCAGACAGGTGAGGGTGCAGACAGGTGAGTGTGCAGACAGGTGAGGGTGCAGACAGATGAGTGCAGAAAGGTGAGGGTGCAGACAGGTGAACCCCCTTGGAGGGGAGGGGTTAGGGAGATACCTTCTGATGTTTGCATGTCTTTGTAAACAGAGAAAAGGCAGGAAGTGACATCATATAAAACATTACATATAAACACATAAGATAACACGTGTTTATATCTTTAACTGCATCCACCGAAGGGATCAATGATAGATATTATAGCTTCCTCTATGGTGATCTGCACACACACACACACACACACACGTGCACCTGAGCTCTCTCTCTGCGTCCAGGTGGACGAGCAGGTGTCCCTGCTGCAGCACGAGAAGGTGGACCTGCTGAAGAGGCTAGAGGAGGACCAGGAGGACCTCAACGAGCTCATGAAGAAGCACAAGGCACTCATTGCTCAGGTCTCTACCCCCTCAGTTTCTGCCCCCCCCCTCCTCCACCCTGTTTCTGTCTAACCTCCCCCCGCACCACCCATCCAGTCCTCCAGTGACATCGCTCAGATCCGGGAGCTGCAGGTGGAGCTGGAGGAGGTGAAGAAGCAGAGGCACTCTCTGCAGGAGGAGGTGAGCGCGGGGTTTCTGGATCCCTGAACTTGTTGCAGGTCTTGGAAAGGCCCCACATTGCTCAACCTCTCCCCCCCCCCCCTCCCTCCTCTAACCCGCCCCCCCCCTCACACCTCCGTCGCGATGCAGCTCCAGCAGAGCGCGTCCAGGGTGCAGTTCCTGGAGGCCTCCACCGTGGGGCGCAGCATCGTCAGCAAACAGGAGGCTCGCGTGTGTGACCTGGAAAGTAAACTGGAGTTTCAGAGGGGGCAAGTCAGGAGGTTTGAGGTGAGGTCACATGATCGTGATGGCTCGGTTTAACCTTTGAACCTCTGAAGCCTACAACCGGCTGTGGGATCGAACAGCAGGTTTTCTTTAAACAATTGACAAAAAACATAATTTATCCCCAAGAGATGCAAAACACATTACTATCACCAGGTTTCCATGTTTACTACGGTCCTTGAACGCACCCTGAGCTCAAAAAGCAAAAACAGGCTTATAATTGGGAATCTTCTCCTTCTGTTCTTTACTCTACATGTTTCCACCTGGGGGGTGTTTCTTTTAACTGTGGCCCCGCCCCCCTGCAGGTGCTGGTGTTGCGTTTGAGGGACAGCGTGGTCCGTCTGGGGGAGGAGCTGGAGCAGAGCGCCCAGGCCGAGGTCCGGGAGAGGGAGAACGCCCGGTACTACCGGCAGCGCCTGCAGGACACCCGGGTGGAGATGGAGGAGCTGGTCCAGAGGGAGCAGGACAGCGGGCGGAGGCGCATGGAGCTGGTAACACACTTCATTCATATTCAACCAGGTCTTGGGGGGGTCTCTGTTAGCTTAGATCAAAGAGACCTAGGCTAACGCTCTCTGAGCTAAGCTAACGCTCTCTGGGCATTAGCTTAGCTTAGCTTACCAAACACCAACTCTTTATTGGAGTTTAATTATCTGTGCAGGCGGCAAACTCCGGCTGATGTCTCTCTAGTGACCACCGGGGAGGCTTCTATGGTCCTATGGAAGTCTATGGGAAAATGACTAGAGACCTGTCAATCAGCGTGTAGCCCCGCCCCAAAGCCCCCATGCTGTATGTGCTGTTTGACTCTTAATAATTCTGCTCCTTCTTCTTCATATCTCAGAGTAAGCGTGAGTCTCTCTGTGGTCGTTGAGTGTCTCTTGAGACACGTCCTGGTGGGACGTGTCTCTTTATGGGACGTTTTTCTCAGTAGTCCACACATGTCATGGCTGTGTTCCCGGATCATTAAGACACAGATCAATTTCCATGCAGCTAAATAGATTTCATGTTTCTGTTCTTGATGACCTCTGAACAAAAGGAGCTTTGATAATTATTCAGTTATTAGCAAGAAAAACACACACACACACACACTCCGATGCCCTTTAACAACCTAACGCACACACACAGCCTGAATAGACACACTCACACAAACACTCTCCTCCTCCTCCATCGTTCTTAACGTCATCTCTCTTTCTCTCTCTGACTGTGATTAATCCTCATTGTCTCTTCAAGGTTATGGACACACACACATTCATACACGGTTATGTGTCTCTATGACACACACACATTCATACACGGTTATGTGTCTCTATGACACACACACATTCATACACGGTTATGTGTCTCTATGACACACACACATTCATACACGGTTATGTGTCTCTATGACACACACACATTCATACACGGTTATGTGTCTCTATGACACACACACATTCATACATGGTTATGTGTCTCTATGACAACCGCTGCAGCAACACCCGTCTCCTCAAAGCCAACGCAGCCAATAACTGGAACGCCTCAAAGCTTTTGTGTGTGTGGCAGGAGGCTAAAGAGGGAGAACAACATGAACAGAGAACGATTGGATGAATTAATAAATCACTGCTTTCTCTCGATGTCTGCACAGTATGTAACTGGGAGGGGGGGGGGGGGCATTACTGAGGACGTCTGGGTCTTTGCAGGTTGTCGGGTAGGACGCGGCTCCTCGAAGGCTCCTCGGAAGCTTCACATGTTACATTCTCTGTAGTGACCAGCAGGGGGCGACTCCTCTGCTCCCATAGACGTCTATGAGGAAATGACTCTACTTCTCTGTAGTGACCAGCAGGGGGCGACTCCTCTGCTCCCATAGACGTCTATGAGGAAATGACTCTACTTCTCTGTAGTGACCAGCAGGGGGCGACTCCTCTGCTCCCATAGACGTCTATGAGGAAATGACTCTACTTCTCTGTAGTGACCAGCAGGGGGCGACTCCTCTGCTCCCATAGACGTCTATGAGGAAATGACTCTACTTCTCTGTAGTGACCAGCAGGGGGCGACTCCTCTGCTCCCATAGACGTCTATGAGGAAATGACTCTACTTCTCTCTGTATTTATTGATTTATTTATTAACAAACTCAGCATCACAGTAACAAGTTCATCTGTAAAGACGTGCGACCCTACGATGTGGTGTCTTGATCCAAACATTGTGTAATTATTGTGTCATGTTTACATTGAAAATGGCACTTGATTCAAATAAAAGGTTAATACATTTGCCATTAATTGTTGTTTGCTTGTTTATAATATCCATAATTAATTTAAACCTGATTTCCTTACAAGAAACAACAGGAGTCTCAGAAACTTTGCCTGCACTGTCCAGTAAAGTTACTGAATCGATTTCAAGTCACTGAATTGATTCGATTCGAATCGTTGTTAAAATGAATCGTTACCCCCCCAGTTAAAACCCAAATGGCTGATCTTGAGGCCTGAAATGGTCCAGAAACCAGTTTGTTCCTTTTCTCAGGAGATGCAGGTGGAGGAGCTGAACGCCGTCCGTCAGGCGCTGCAGGCCGACCTGGAGACCTCCATCCGCCGCATCGTGGACCTGCAGGCCGCCCTGGAGGAGGTGGAGTCCAGCGACGAGAGCGACTCTGAAAGGTACGGCGCTCCAGCAGGTGGGGGGGGGGGCTTTTAAATGATCAGGCCCGTGTTTAACCCTTTTCCCCACTCTGCCCTTCACTCCAGCGTTCAAACTGCTGTGGAGTCCTTGACTCAAAGGAGAGAGCAGTAAGAACCTCTCCAGTGTGTGTGTGTGTGTGTGTGTGTGTGTGTGTGTGTGTGTGCGTTTGAACTTGAATGTGAAAGAGGAACCGACCCGTTAACGGATCGTCTGTTAGTTTTATCGGTTACGATGAAAAAGATTGTTGCGATCTGACGGTTTGTTGTTAAAACTGACGAAACGAGGTCCGAAAGCACAAAAACCTCTAAGGCGACGCGCATGACTACTAACGGTCAACGAGTCACTGCTGCACCACCACAACCCCACCTTCAAAGTTACCTGTCCTCCAGCAGGGTCCCTTTAGAGAAGCTCTCCTTGGTGCAGCAGCCTCTCAGTTCTGGTTCCTCACAGTAACTTTAAGTCTAAAGCGTTTTACAGTAGATGCATCCAGAGGAACCAAGCGGTGGATCATGAATGTTTCCATAATGAGACTTGCGGTGTGTCGAGCTGCAGCCTGTTCTGTGCTTGCATGCTCAGTAAGCCTATGATAGGGGGGTTATGGGGGGGGGGGGTCTCCACAGCGGCGATGGTACAGTGTGACCTTTGCTCCGCAGTGACTCGGTGTCCAGTGTCGGGTCCATCGGGACGGAGGACGTGGGCGAGGGGATCCGTCATTGGCTGGGAGTGCCCAGTGGAAGGGGGGGCGGCAGTACCGCCGGCAGCCAGAGGGGGCGCCAGTCGGTCGCTGACACCATGAGCACCTACAGCTTCCGGTAAAACTCCCGGTTATTGTGACAGGAAATGAACCAGCCGCGGTCTTTGTGACCGTGAATGTCCCGTCTCTTCTTCTACAGCTCCTGTGTGGACCCCGATGACGAGGGCTCCGAGGCCGCGGTGGCCGGCGCCCGGGGGCCCGGTCGCGCCCCGTCCTCCTCGGCTCTGTCCGAGCTGCTGGACGGACTCCGCAAAACGGCGCGGCGGCGGCGGTGAGGCGGCGGCCGAAGGAGCCGGCAGCGCCGTCTCTCTGCCGGTGTATCAGACCACGGCGGCCTCCACCCTCAGGCGGAGGGCTTCGGCCCTCTCGCTCGGCCCCGGGGACCCCCAGGAGGCCCGGCCCGGCATCCTCAAGCCGCCCTCGCCACTCCTGCCCCGCGCCGCCAGTGCTCGCTCCGTGGGCGACGCGCTCCCCTCGCTCCCCTCGCTGCCTCACCTCTCCTCATTGCCACCCGCCCTCGCCGCCAGCCATCGCCCCCCCTCCCTGACCATCCCGGAGGAGGACCCGGTAGAGCGCCTGCTCTCCCGGACGACCCCCTTGCCGCAAGCGCCGAGGCGCTGCCTGCTGGGAGGCCTCGCCGCGGGGGAGCGGGGCGAAGGCTCCCTGGGTTCAGAACCCTTGGTCTTCCAAAACCGCCGCCTGGTGGAGGACCGCGAGGACGCCGCCTCCGACATCCTGCCCGCCATCCGGAGAGCGCAGTCCACCAGCAGCCTGGCCGGCTCGGTGAGGGGGGGCCGCAGGGCGCTGAGCGTCCACTTCGGAGAGTTGCCCCCCTCCACCCGCGGCAGGAAGAGCTCCGAGACCGAGTCCTCCAGCTCGGAGGGTTCCGGGGGGAGTTCCCAGGGGGGCGGGTCCAGGCGCAGGTTTGAGGGTCCGCAGGGGGAAAGGCTGGAGGCCGAGGGCAGCGAGGGGGGGGACGTGGCCTCGGTCATGAAGAGGTACCTGAAGAAGGAGACGGACTGAGGCGGACGAGGTGAGTGGACTTGAACCGTCTAAGGTTCTTCTGCGTCACACAAAACCCCCACTGAGAAGGTCTAAACAGAACCCTTCTATGGGGCCTCCACCCTTGAATGTCCTGTCTCAAACCTAAGTGTGCTAACAAGAACCCATCCTGGGGTTCTACCAAGAACCCTTCATGTATTACAAGGGTCTCATCTAGAACCACTACTGACTTGCAATAGAAAATGAAGCCAGAGCGACTTCAGGAAAGCCTCCTTCCTCCTGTTTTCTGGTCGTGAAGGTTCTGGTGATCTTCTGGTGATGGAGAACCCGTCTGGCTGCTGTTGTGACGTCTTGTCTTCTCTTGTCTTCCATCAGCGCCTCGACGGGTCCTCGTCTTCAGACTGAAGAAGCACGTCTGCAGTCAACAAGGAGCTTTTTATTTTGACTCTTTGTAAACGAATAAACACATTTCATCTGAACGTTTTGTCTTCACACAGTTCTGTTTGTTACATGAAGAAAGTTTATATATATAAACATATAATAATATGTTTATTTTGATATTTAATATATTTTAACACTAACTTGGAGTATTTCCACAACGTGTTATATAACTTTAAAGTAATAAGTGTAGAAAGTATACTGTGTCAAAGTACATTTAAGCCCTGATGTACTTTACTTATGCTGCTTTATTTATATATACAAGTAATGTAACAGCAATATTTAAACCTACTACATTAATGTTTTATCTACAGAACACACTTCTTACTTCTTCTACAGACTATGAAGCATAGAACGTGTACTGTGTACTGTGAACGTGTACTGTGTACTGTGAACGTGTACTGTGGTCGTCTCACTGGTCGGGGACTATTTTCATCGGCGGATTAATTCACACACAAGGCACAATTATATTCCCTCTCAGATTAAACTCTGAATAATGAATTATTACAGATTACAGATGCAAATTAGCTGAAGCTGTAATCTGGTGCAGTGAATCAAACGGTGACATTTATATTTAAACTGTACACGAAGCCTTTTAAACACAAGTGTGAGAGGATTTACAGGTTACGGCCCATCATGGCCGGTCACAGCGCTCTTATTGTGAAGGGCTCTCTACTTGATGAATCCATCACGTCTTTATTTGTCCTCATCAGAGCTTCACTCCCAGTCGCTGAAGGACAAATGTACCGCTGGGCCCCACATTACCCACAATGCACCCAGCAGGGGGCTTCAGAGTCTACAGGTGGACGTGGATGTGTGTGTGTAGTGTTATGAACTACACACACACACACACACAAAAGATGCATAATTGTGTTGTACTCATTTATACGAGACAGAGAAGAGCTTTTCTTCATTTTCTTTATAAACCGATCTCACTTCGGCCCCCCGACCCGCATGAGGGACACCTGTCCTCTACGAGGACGCACTTCAGACACCTTACAACAAGTCGGCCTTTTATAAAACTCCACTTTAATCTGGATCAAAGCCCCCATGCTGTATGTGCTGTGACTCTTAATAATTCTGCTCCTTCTTCTTCATATCTCAGAGTAAGCGTGAGTCTCTCTGTGGTCGTTGAGTGTCTATATATATACATATATATATATATATATATATATATATATGTATATATTTGACCCTCTTTAGTATTTAGTGTGTTGCTTTGTGGTTGTCTCGTGTCTCTTTGTCGTCGTTGTGGATCCCCCCGTCTCACAGCTAGGAATGTGAGACGGGGGGGAATGAGGAATGTCGGTGTTGTAACGCGGCGGCTAATGAAGCGAGTGTGTTACTTCAGACACTTCAGTCTCTGCGAAGTGAGAAATCACTGAATGACTGACGGCCTTTGCTCATGAATTATATATTTACATAAAATCAATATATAATTACAATTATATATCGTTTTTTTCTGTTTTTGAAGTACTTTCCCTTTGACACTGTTACTCTTCCTTTACAGTATTAGTATTGGTACTTAACATAAAGACGCTTTGTTAAGTATAATGAGCTAACGACAGCAGTACTACTACTACAGTATTAATACTATAATAAT